CCTATACTGTTCTCAACATCCTGTGTTTATTTTGTACCTACTAATTATACTTTTTAATCCTTACACCTTTCCCCTCATTCTCCCCCTTTTTCCTCCCAGGTAATAATCCTCCAATTGATCTTGATACCTATGATTCTGATCTTGTTCTGGTTGTTTGCTTAGTCTGTGGGGGTTTTTTTTGGAGGGTGGGGATGTTCAGTTATGGATAGTTGTGAACTTGTTACCTTTTTTAATATTCATAGTTTTGATCTTCTTTTTCTTAAGTCCCTTTAACATTTCATGTAATAATGGCTTGGTGATAATGAACTCCTCTAGCTTTACCTGGTCTTTGGAAGGACTTTATCTGTCCTTGCATTCTAAATGATAGCTTTGCTGGATAGAGTAATCTAGGCTGTAGGTCCTTGCTTTTCATCACCTTGAATACTTTTCACCAGTCCCTTCTAGCCTGCAAAGTTTCTTTAGAGAAATCAGCTGACAGTCTTATGGGAACTCTTCTGTAGGTAACTAACTTTATTTCTATTGCTGCTTTTAAAATTCTCTCTTTATCTTTAACCTTTGGCATTTTAATTGTGATGTGCCTTGGTGTGTTCCTCTTTGGGTCCAACTTGTTTGAAACTCTTGGAGCTTCCTGGACTTGCATGCCTATTTTCTTCACCAAATTAGAGAAATTTTCTTTCATTATTTTTTCATATAAGTTTTCCATTTCTTCTGAGTTCTCTTCTCCTTCTGGCATCCCTATGATTTGAAAGTTGGTACATTTGAAGATATCCCAGAAGCTCCTTACCCTGTCCTCATTTTTTAAATTCCTTTTCTTTTTTTAAATTTCTTGCTGTTCTGATTGCATGTTTTTTTTCTTCTTTATTTTTCAAATCATTGATTTGATTCTCAGCTTCACCCACTCCACTGTTGGTTCCATGTATTTTTTCCCCTTATTTCACTTACTGTAACCTTCATTTGTGCCTGGGTCTTTTTATGCTATTGAGGTACCCAACGAGTTCCTTGTGCATCTTAATAGCCAGTGTTTTGAACTCTGCATCTGGTAAGTTGTCTAACGCCATTTCATTTAGTTCTTTTTCCAGAGTTTTGTTCTATTCTTTTCTTTGGGCCATATTTCATCTCCTTAATTTGGCCACATCCTTGTGTTTCTTTCAGTGTTTTAGGAAGAGCTGCTTTGACTCCTTGTCTTAATATAGCATGGCCTACTGTAGAAAAAGAACCTGTAAATTTTGTGGAGCAGACACCTAGGTAATCGCCAGGGCGACACAACCCACTTCGCTGATTTTTGGCTCTGTGTGCCAGAGGGCTCAGAGAGGGGACTGTGCTGCTGCCTGACTTCTGAAGGTTTGCCCGGCACTCACCCCATTTCCAGTTACTTCACACACTTCCCAAATATGACTGGCACCATTCCAACTGTTGACCTATTGTTGGATGCCACAGTAGAAGGGTTTGCGTATATTTTAAGACTGTGCAGGCCCTTTAAGAGGAGTTACTTAATAATCTGTCAGTTTCTTTTGCCACCCAATCCTCTCTGGTTTTTATAGCCAGAGGTTATGGGGATTTATCTTCCCGATGCTGGAATCCTGGGCTGTGAGGTCTGGCCTGAGCCGGGGATCTGTTGCTCTCAAGGTATCCCTTCTGATTCTAATCCACCACATGTGAATGTGGGACCACCGTGCCCATTCTTCCACCACTGCCACCTCTACACACCACACCACATCTCCTCGCCTCTCTGGCCCTCCTACCTGTCTGGATGAATGTGGCTTCTTGAAACCCTTGGTTGTTGGACTTCCAGAGAGTTCAATTTTTTGACAGTTCTTGGTGTTATTTGTTTTGAGATTTAGTTCTAATTCTTTTAGTGGTTATGCTAGGAGGCAAAGTGGGTCTACCTACGCCTCCATCTTGACCAGAATGCTCTATTCTCCAATATTCATCCAAAAGACATATGTATGTGTGTGCTTATGTAAATGCAGTTTCTCTCAGAATATTTTCCTCCTTGTACCAGGTTTTAGGAAAGTCACAATTTAGCTTCACATAGAGCCTTCATAGGGATAATTTTCTTTTCATTCTCCTCTTCAAAGTTTCATTGGTACAAATTTATTATATAAATATTTTATGATGACAGATCTTTAGCAATTTCTCCAAGACCTATTAATTTCTCTGTCTTCACAAAGAATATTCAGAATTTATGAATTCTCATAAGACAACCTTGCATAAAATTATTGTAACATTATATTTCTTCTAATTTATCAGTCATCATTTTGTATTGGCTATATTTGTACAAAAGCTCTTCTTAGAAAAAAGTAAATTGATTTCAAGATTATACTTTATTTAGACCTATGAATAATAACTATGACAAAATGTGCTGAGCATAGTAGCTCTCCCACCTCTGATCCCATATGAAATCATATATGATTCCATAGCTAGTTATCCGTGGCTGATGAATGCTCAGAGTTTATGTGCCAACTTTTTGCTTACTGAACATTTTGAGAGTTTTCTCCTAACACTGATAAACTGTTTGAAGCAAGGTATTGAATGTTAAATGACTTCAGTCCATTTGCAAAACATTTATATATCATTATTAGTTTTGACTCAAAGTAGCAGAATAAAAAATGAGACCCAACCCATATTTATAATAATAATATAATTGCCTAGTTTCAGAGTTCATATAAAAATAACGCTTGGAATGCTTTTATTAACAAAATTTTAAAATAAATCAACACAGTAACATATTTGAATACTACAGAAGCTCCATTTTGCTTCCATATTATATTTAAAAATCAAGGGCTTAGAAGCAATCTATTATCATCAGCATGTGTAATTAAAGTTAGATGGATCTGGCTGCCTTTTCTACAAAAGCGGGGAAATATCTTGGTGCTTGAAACCATGCAGAGGTCCTTGGCTTTTATGTAAGTTATTAAGTGTACAGACACTTTTCATCTGTCAAACCCTCACCTGTAAAGTTACCAGATGAAACAAAGAAAACAATATAAACCAAACAAAAGCTGTGGACAGTTTATTAAAAGTCTAAATCCAAAAGCTTATTGGACTCCCCAAACCTGGCCTTCCTGGTCCTCTTTGCATATGAAGTTCAAGACACCAGGATTCATAGAAGTTCTCCCAGGGTTACCCCTTCTCTCAGGATAAATGCAATCCAATATGTGCCTCCAGAGGTTACTCACCAAAGCCCCTGAGTGTCTCTTTTGATATAACTTTATACTGGAATGCACACTATTATGATATAAAAAAATGATAAATTAGCATCTGGAAAGTTAAAATGTTGTAAAAAACTTAAATTGTGTTTTATTCCTCAGGCTTAGACCACAAATTGAGAATTATTCAAATTAAACTTACTTACTTCCCATACCTCAAAACTGAAATAGGATAGCAAAGGGCAGTTGCAAACAGAGGCAAAAATTCATTTTGCACAATAAGACAGACTACGTATACTATTTTTGAGGATGTTAGATTGTAATAAATTTAAAGAGCAAACAAAGCACTCCCCTTTGAAATAATTCTCAATTGTGGATATCAATTAATACATCAACACGGTCATTTTTGGCAAATAAGACCCTTATGCTATGAACTCATTTAAGATTACCAACAACCGCTCAAAACATTATCTAAACAACTTGGGGGCAAGGCCCCAAGAAATTCTAAGAAAATTAGCTGATTTGGAAAAATATTTAAATAATTCAACATGTATTGTATGTGTAGTTAGCAGCTGTTTCACCGTTGAAGATTTTATGCAATTCTTCTATAATAATATATTTGATTCAAAATGCATGTATAATAACTATATATTTATAAGCTAATGGATTAGAAAAGTAGATGGCATCTGCAAGCCTTTATGTGACAGAACAGTTTAGAGCTGGCAAAACAGTTTTATAGATGCTTATTGATCCTCACACAAGCCTGTGAGGATCATTTTTTGCCATTTTTAGTTTGGGACCCTGAAGCTCAGAGACTTTGGGGATGTGGCCAAGAATAATAAATGTGAGTATCTTTTTTTTGTTGTTTGCTCCTCATCCTACCCATTTTCCTGTAGGTCCCAAGCCAATAATGGCTGATCAGTCAGTGAGGTGGGGAAAGTCAAAACCTATGTAATTAATGAAGATAAGTCAATGAACTTTTGAGGATAATGTTTTCAGACACATTCTTATCTTGTGAAGCACACATTTTGATAACTGCCCATGTTATGAATAAGCAAAGTACACTGAAATATAAACCAATTGTAAAATTTTTGACAGCTAATTTCAGGTATAAGAATGATCATATCTACTAATTTAAACATACCAAAACCAATGGGGACAAAAAAAAGTTCTCCAAAGTCTTGTACAGGGTGAGGTTTGTAGCTATTTGTTAGATTAAATCTTTCCCGGATAGACCAAATTATCTGAGAATACGTTGAACTATTCAGTTTATCAATTTCATAGAAAGTGGGTTTCTTTGTTGTTAAAATAAAAGGGGGCTTGTGGGACAGAGACAGTGGTCTCTGTGCTTCAGAGAAGTGCACCATCGGTGCACAGAAATTGCATACAGTCTAATGTAAGCAGCAAATCCCCATCCTCCATCAATTTCCTATGGAGAAAAGAAGTGGGGAGGGCAAAGGAAAATGGTGCATTCAAGTCCATGACAGAGCAGTTCAGTGGACTGGATATCCCTCACACCACTGAAACGTAAGACAAAGCTAATGAGATCTGTCACAATCACAGAGTGTGGGTCTCAAGAGTCCACACAGGAAAGTGGACAAAGAGATCGTGATTACCTTTGTGAGTTTCATTCTGCAGTGTGTACCACTCCTAGAAAGCAGTCCTAAGTGATTTTGAACCTTTATATTTAATTTTGTTTTGGGGAAAAAATATCACCAAATATTGAAACAAATATCATTGTTTGGCTGAATTCAGGTATTCTTAATTAAACAGTACCACAGACTTTATTGAGCAATTAAAAATATACACAAGGAACAATAGCTTTTTCTGTTTGTTGATGCTTTTTGTTCTTTTCTTTTTTTTTTTTTAACTTTCTTTCAATGAAATAACCCAGTTTCGATCATGAAAAGGGCACTTGTTTCTACAGTGGCTGCATACAGCTTGCTCAGTTTCACATACTGTTGCCACACTTCTTCCTTGTCATGGCTGAGGTTACGTCTTCACTTGCTCAGGAAGGAAATTCTAGAATGTCGCAAGAATTGACCCCCTAAGTTGTTCTTTCAGATTCTATTTCTCCATAGAGTTCAGCTAACTTTTTAAACTCCGGCCCCCAGTCTCCAAGGTAGTGATAATCTTGGTCTGATTGTGTTGTGGCTGAATCCAGAGAGCTGATGGACCCAGCTTCCGATCGCTGACCCTCATAGGCGTAAGTCTGAAGCGAGTCATAAGGGGGGACACTGGGGTCCAGGTCAGCTTCTGCCAGTCTTTGCTTAATAAATTCCTGAACATCTATACTCTCCAGGGTGGACAGTGTCTGGTGTCTGGGGGTGAGTTTCACTTCAGGTCTGATATCTCTCCGGTATTTGAGCTCCTCAGCTGCAGACGGATTCCTCAAGGCTGTGATGTCAAAGGCCTCCGTGTCTTCTTCCCCGCCACCTTCATCATCATAGGTGACCACGTTCTCGCGCACATCCTCCTCTGAGATGATCAGGGGCTCTTTCTTGCTACGTCTCAGGGTGATAAAAAGTACTACAATTGCTGTGGGAAAAGGGAAAGAAGATGAAGAGTCAGAAAAAAAAGAAGGAACATTTGACATTAGCAGCTTCAACCCTGGTCATCAAGTCCACTCACTCCATCCGGGCTTGCCTTGTAGCATGACTCTGACCTCTGCACTCTCTGAACCACACCTGGAAGCTCTTTAACATCTCAAAGAGTTTTCAAAAAATTATATTTATAAAACATTAGGAGTTTTTTTTTAATCTTTTCTGGAATGCCATACTATTCTCATGTGCCAGGCTCATGTATTTGGGCTTCTCGACTTCTATTGCTGTATAGCCATTCAGGAAAACTGGTGATTGAAAAGAAATATTAAGTTCTGACTAGATAAATTATGGTGTATGTGAGTTTATCTACAGATGTTTAATCCTTCTGAGCAGATACACTAGAGGAAGAATGTTTTAAATTTCTGTAAAATAGGTGGGAGTTTCCACCATAAATCCTTTACCTTGGATGTTTTGTTGGAAACCGAAGCAGGAATATTTTTCCATGTTCATCTCTTTTGCCCATTTTCCTTTAGAAAAACGTCATGCAGTAATAATTACATTTATCTCCTAAGCTCCAAAAGTATATTTTTATTTGTATACAACTCGGGTTTCATAGAACTTTATCAGCTTACACATTCTTTTCACATAATGCCTTCACAACAGAGCCGGGGCTTTTCTCATTTTAAAAACGAGCATTTGCGACTCAAGAGCCATTACACACACAACTGCAATCCAAGTCTAAGGTCACACAAATGGCTGGGGAGACAGCTTGGGCGGTAACCTAGGACTCCCCACATCAAGGGTTATCATGCCTCATTATTTTAAAATTATAAGAAGAGGAATCAAGTGACCAGATGACACATGTGGCAGGGTGACCTGCTAAACACAATGGATTTTATTAGTCTTTATCACCGATAATATTGCAACCATTGGATGGATTCACAGAAATATGTCTTGGGTACTTCATTCTGGTCATTTTTTAGTAGTTTCAAGTCGTTCTATTTGAGACTGTTAAATCATTACTAAATAGAAAGAATTCCCTCACTACTACTTTGTGCTATAACCCAATATCCTTTACTTCGCCTGTATAAATTGTTCTCTTCTTGCTTACTTGATGATATGCCAGACTTCATGATAGCAAATTGTAGGAGACCATTCTGTGTGTTATGGGCCCAGCCCCCAGTGGCAAACATTTACTGCAAAGTAACTTCCTAAAATCCATGCTAAACCTTCCAAGGAGGAGTGTAAGGAGTTCAACCACTTCTGCCCTTTCATTTGCAAATATCCCTCTTCTGTGATGTAATTAGTGCCATTGGCTCCTTTGTTTTCTGTAAAAGGTAACCATCTAAAGCAACCTGTGCATAGTAAATGAGGACCATCCTGTAATGTTCGGAGAAACCCAATAAAGGCCGGTCACAGTCACGGCCAGCTTTTGCTCTCGCAGCTTTTGCTGCCCTGAGAGAAAGGCCAGGCTGTCCCTTTTCCTCCACTGGACTCGGTAGTCCGTGTGAATCTCTCCTTTCATCCATAATCACATGACACTGCAGGCTGGTATCCGCATCAGTATTAAATTTGTTAGTATTTTAAACATTTTTACAATATAATAATTGGAAAGTACATTCATATGGCATCTTGTATTATCTATTAGCAAATAATGAAGTGCATCAAATTAAGTGTGAGTTTGAAATGAACAGCAAAAATGTATGTTTGTTACTATGTAAAGGGGGAACCAAAAATTGAATGCATTATATAAAATTGTGTTTTTATTCTTAAATCTTTAAATTTCAACCACCTTTAAAATACTCTCCATTTGATGCAATACACCTATTGAGACATTTTTTGAACTACTTAAAACAGTTTTTCAACTAGTCAGTTTAAATGGGTGTTAGTATTTCTGCCTTTGTTTGTTTGTTTGTTTGACCTTTTCCACCCTGGCAAAATGTTTCCCTTTGAGGACTTTTTCTTATCAGGGAAAATAAAAAAATAAGTAAGGGCAAGATTCAGTGAATAAGTGGGGTAGGGCATGGGTCACGCCATTTTTGGTAAAAAATTGCTGAACACTCACCACTCAGTGGGCAGATGTGCTCATAAATCAACCATCATGAAATAGGCAAACACATTGAAAGAGTCTTCAAAAAAAAATCACTGAAGCCGAATCTAGCCTCTCCCAGCAACTCCAGCTGGTAGACTGATACAGATGGGTCCCACCTCCAGAAAATAATTCCAGAATTTGGGGGCCCTCTTTATATATGCATAATATGAAATTTATAACAAAATATATAGATATGTACCATACATGTATCTGTAACTATGTCCCATGCAATATTTGGGATGCACACATAGGCACATATTTAATGAATATATTTATAATATATATCCCAATATTATTGCATGTGGCATGCTTATGCTATCTATACAATGCTATAATATCACTATGATTGATATACATATATTTATGCTATAATGTGAATAGTATAGGTATGTCCCATGCAATATATCTATAACTGTATATGTCTGTATATATACACTTTTACCAATACACATTTTAATCTGAAATTTGTGTATCAATCTATACTGTATTTTTCTATTTACTTTTTAATATCGGTATACTGTATTTTATCTGACAACCCTAATTATATGCAAGCTTTAACAAATGGTTATAAAGCAAAAAAGTAAGTAAATAAATAAAATAAAGCATCAAGTTAGTTACCCTTCGGTTAAGAACATATATGGCACTCTAGAAACTGCCCTTTCACTCCTTACCTATAAAAAGTAACTTCTAGTCTTTTCTTTATTGTTTTCTTGCTTCTCTTTTGCATTTAGCCCATTTTACATATACCTCTAAGCAATATAGATCACCTTTGCCTGTATTTGAACTAGATATCATAACGTACATGTGTTTACTTCTTCAAAATAGTGAATAGAAAGAGGAATAGATTTTTGAGCCAGAAGTGGAAAGAATAAGTGTAAGAGGGAAATCTACTAGTCTATGGGAAAAGAGATGGTCAAAGCACATGGGGAGCATTCTGATTTTGCAAAGAAAAGGCAAGTGGGAGCCTATGCAGATGAAGGAAAAAGAAGACAAAGCATTTTTAAAGAGGAGGAATTTTTAAACAGAGCATTATCTGGACAAGTGTTGGAATAAACAGGTACTGACAGTCAATGGACAAACGTAACAGGGGAGACCGTGGCAGGCACGAGGAAGCTTTGTGTCACCGTGGTTATAAAGGAGTCATACAGCAAGCTGAAAATGAAACACTGATGCTGTGTGGCCCTGCTTCACAAACACTCTGCTGCAGAGTAAACAGTGCCCCAGGCATGTTGCTTATCCTTCAAAGATATTTTCTCATATAACACTTTATTTTTGAAACAAAGACTTCACTTAATCTAGTTAAGTATGCACTTAATGCTTCATTGTTTATTTTAGTGTAAATCTAACCTAGACTTTTGTCATACAATGACCCAAGCAGCATCTTCAAGGAACTCACTTCATTATACTCAGGGGTTTAGATTTATCATCCACTATGTACTTCTGCTCATCTTCATGATTAAGTGAGGAGGCTGTACTAAATTAAAACAGCTATTTCTACAGACTGCCTAATTTACTATAGTAAAATTTCTTATGTTTGTCAGTAAATCAAGTTATTTTCCCTTATGTTTAAATAAGTGGTGGTTGATGTCAAGGGTATTTATGTGCAAGCATAATAAACACCCTTGGAGAACACAATGAATACTATTGTGGAAGCATGGAGGTAATTTGCATCCTCCACCAGTATCAGTACCATATTTGCCTAATGAAATATAGGAGATAATGCAGGGCTTACTATTGCAATAGTTTATATTTTCTTGCTCCCCAAAACCTCAGACATATTTTTTATATATTTTGATTAAAAATGTACATATGGTTAAGATTGACCTTTGATATTTTTGTGTCTCTCCCTTTCCAGGCATAGGCAGTTATTTTCCAGTGACCAATATCCCTAGATTTAGGGATATAGGGATCAACATAATTAATCATACAATCTGCGACACTTTTGAGGATGAAGTGGGTGTTGTTTATAATTACATCAGGACATCAGGACAAATATGAACACGTGTTCGTTCTAGTCAAAGGCAAATTCAAATAAACTCGGAGAGGAAGGTGGAAATGTGGATGATAAGAAGAGCTTTTGATGACCACATAAAAGTTTGTCTGAGAGCTGTTTTTGGAGTAGATGGCACACAGATTCTTGTGGATGACAAAGAATCATCTCTGTGAAACTGGCAATATGACATTGAGCAAAGTGAATCTTCATGTATCATAATAGCCACAGTAAAAACATAATTTTAAATATATTTTAAATCAGTTTATGGTTACTAATAATACCAAATACATAATTTTACTTGAAAGAAAATTTTAATGTTTGAAAATCAAATTGTTTTCTAAAAATCTCAAGACCAAATGTATCTGAAGAAGAGAACAATTATACATGTATATATATTTGAGAATTAAAATCTTATTTAAAAACTGGTGGGCAACTGAATATATTCAAATAATTCCCCATTACCAGTCTATTAAACCATGCATGGAAAACATGGTAGCTCCTCTTACAGTGGGTGAGCTGTGAAAAGAGAATATGATAAAGCTATGGTGTTGTAAAAAAGGGGGAGAGGAAAAGGGAAAGAGAGAGACATAAAGAGTTACTTCTTCTTTATTCAAAATTATAAATCATTTATGGTATTTTGAATTTTGATTATCTAAACTAGATTGAAACATGAGAAAATAGTATTATTTTTGAGAAGTCTTTATTTTAATGAATATTTTATTGCTAGTTAGTGTTTCCTGTTTTCTTTTATCTTTCAGTTGGGCCAGAATTATAAACCCACTTAATTATATTTTATTTAAGAAAATTCAAATATATTTATTCAGTCTCATTATTTTATTCAAAAAACAAATTCAACTTTGGGAAACCTTTTTTCTATTTATTAGTTATATTTTCAGTCCAGTGATTACAGTTTTAAGGGGTTTTGAGTTTTCATAACATAAACTGTCATATGACTTGCATTTGAACATGTCGTACAATGACTCCCAGCATACTCCCCCCACATACTTTTCAGAGCAAGCCTTTTTAACCCCAAAATATCACTTGACTTTTTTTACACACTCATATCTTAATACTAAGTTTTATAGAATGAGGAGGCCCACGTCAGTGAAATTATCTTTGTTAGTTTCCATCATCAGGTACACCTGGTATTGGCTCTTCTCAGTGAAACTTTTTTCAAACCAAGGAGAGCCCACAAAGGCCTCCAAGGTAGCTCTGCTGAGAAACAGTTTGACAGTGATCTTCTTATCCATCCCACCTTTGCCTCCTGGTTCCCCACTTCCCTCACACCAAATCCACTGTGATCTCTGTGGATCAAGAAATGTACGTCCAAGAATAGGAGCAATGTAGCCGGTGTACTCATCTACGTCATTACTTATATATAATGTGTGGACTGTAAGGGTAGCTGGTAGAGGACTGATGCAGATCCAGATTCAATGCCAAATGTGATTAAAGTTTGCGCTGACAGCTGGTCTGGTTCTTTGGCAAGTGGTGGGGTGAGGTTGGGAAAATAATGTCAGATCCAAGGAAGGGAAGGGAACTATAGCTACTCTCTCCTCTACCACCAAACTCTGATTGTACCATGGAGACTCATTCCTGATTCTCTCCTATGATAAAGGTAATTCTGACAGCATATAATCCCTGATCACTATATATACAGCTAACATCTATATTTAGGCCCTTTTGTTTTCAAGCACCATTTTCTTGTAATCGATATGTACACAAATGGAGTATGAACATACCGTAAAATATTGAATTGTATTTAACCTATAATAAAACATAAATAAGCACCACAACACTTTACTGAGGGTTGTAAGGTCCTTCTAGTTGAATATTTTTACGTAGATTCAGAAATAGAAACAAGAGACTGAATGGGTCTCCTCAGGTCATACCGTACATTAATGACAAAACTTTGCTTAAATTTATACAATCAAGGCCATCCCCTACCAAAAAAAAAAAAGCTGCCAGTTAAAACATATTATCGTATTAAATACTGATTTCATGATAGGTTTAGCTTTTATGGTTAAATGTTATTTCAGAATTACAATGTCTAAAATAAAGTTTTGCTACCTCTGGTGTTGCTGATATATTCCTTAAAAATCCTAAACTCGCACTTAACTGACATTATTTTTTAATTACAAGTGATTATATTCTGAGTCTGTTATTTACATATCTTCTGAGCAACAATAAAAACCACTAAAATGTCATGAAAAATATAAATTACATTATAAATAATGATGTTTAAACCCAAGTTTAAGAAATTATTCTGCAACCTTTGGGTGAAACTGTGAAAATACATTTGAATTACAATAAAAATTGAAGGAGTAAACATATCAAATAGCAGCTTGGTTTCATTAGTGCTGAGGGATAGCATAAAATTTAGAAATGTTCTCTTATTTACCCCAAAGGAGGGATAAAATTTTATAAAATAAATTAAATAAAAATACTGTTTCATTAAATAATAAAATGTTATTTTGCACACTACACCTTAAATTAACCTGTGCATGAACATCTTCAATTACTTTTATATTATCTTACTAATGAAAAATAGTTTTATGATAAATCATTTTAAAAAATCAAAGACAACATGCCTCTCCTAATTGAACTACTTTCAGAATAAAGACTTTGGAAGAACTTTTATTAAAGTCACTGAGTTCTATACTTCGTGGTTTAAGTTAGAAACCCTGGATCAATATATACAGTTGTTTTGTTTAGTTTACATTCTGTTTTGGTTTGCTTATGAACTTTTTTGTTTGTTTTAATTTTCAAAGATAAAACCAAATAATGAGTTATGTCTTAATATATTATGACCAATTAATAAATAAATACATTCTAAAAAGCCTGATTTTTCTTATTTCCTTCCCCACAATGCATTTCTTATAAAAACTGCAATAAAATAGATTTTGTTGTGGTGAACCAAACCTCTGTATTCCATGTTGCTAGGTGCAATCAATACCTTTTGGTAATAAATTTATCTAACCCCTGAACAACTTTTGACATTAATGAATGGTCTGTCCTCTTTGATACATTTTCTTCCTTCAACATTTATGATGTTATACTTTACTTATATTCTTCTTTCTTCTCTGATTTTTCCTTTGTTCTCCTTGGTTATCTCATCCTTTTTGGCTTAATGATTACATTGGAGTTTATCACAGATCAGTCCTGGTCTATTTTCTCTTTATATTTTCTAGCCGTAGTGACTCTACCAAAGTGCACTTCTGATGTGCACCAGCTCAGGGAAGATCAAAATCCACATATGGTAAAAGATAAAAGGTCGTCTTTGATGCAATTCTAATTCAGCCATATATCAAACTTATCCAATATCATTGTTTATCAGCTATTTTCTTTTTTTTACCCATGAAAGTACTTTCAAAAATGAACACTATCTCACAGACATTAATTTCTGTTCACAGACATGAAGTTATTAACAGTGCAGTTTTCAAGTGCATTCTTAGGTACTTTAGTTAAATTTTTGATAAATATGAATACTTTCATTCAGGAACCTGCACCATATCATCCAAGGTAACATCTGATCTCACCTAAAACATCTTGATATTACCCACCTTCCCTCAGTTTCACTCCAAGTATGCTAGTCCAAACTACGCTATGTCTGAAAGAGACGCTTCATTTTCTTCCTAATCACTTTTTCTATGTGCTCTTTTGCCTTCATGAGATCCACTTTCTACTTCATTCAGTCATCTTTTTGCAAGATGCAAATTTCATGATAAGATTCTGTTACTTGAAACCTCTCTCTTAACTCTCCTAGAACAAAGAAGCCCCCAATTCTCTCACCCCTTCCTGAATCTCCATTCTATTTTTCAGCTTTATTCTGCTTTGTTCTCCACGCCCTTTGTACAAGTAACTTGACTTCTACCCCAGAAAGAAAATGAGAGACATTCCTCGCAAGAATGTCTCTGTCTCACCAAAGCATTGTGTTGTTTTGGTTTGTTTGTTTGTATAGACAGTACTTACTGTCTTGTATCAAAAAGCAACTAAAAAGTTTATAGTAATAGCAGCTACCAATGCGGTGAAAATGAAAGTCGATGAAAATGAAATCTTTGAAGCCATGTTTTGTTATTCACATTATGCATTTCTGTCTCTTAAGTTTTGTCAAAATCTCTCTTCCCTCCATCTTTCTCTCTTGCCTAACGCAGTGCTGGCCATTGTAGGAGACACTCAGAATCGCCATCACACCACGTAAGGATTCAGAACGACTTACCTAGGAGAATGAGAACACACAGAAGAATAGCGATTAAGGCTCCTGTGCTCAAACCAGCCGAGGACAGGAAGGCTTCAGCATGGCAGGTCCGCACGCGCCCGTCTCTCTCGCACGCACAAACCCTGATGGTGAGGGTGCTGCTGCTGCTGAGAGAGGGGATTCCACCATCAGAGACCATAATGGGGAGATAATACACATCCTGCATAGTGCGACTAAATCTCCTCCGCCTGGTCAGAATGCTGGCTGTGTTATCTATGACAGACATAAGCAAAACAAAACGTACTTAGTAAAGCCGCCAGTGAAGATTCACATTCCATTAGTGGATAAAATGGGCATGTGCGATTGATTGACTTACTTATTTATTTTCGTTTATGAAATGGGAAAAGGGAACATGAAGGGGCAATTATTAAACAGTAACTAATATTGGTTCTCAAGTTAAGGAACCTATTAGGATCATTAATAAAGTCCAAATAAAAAAGAAGGAAAATAGTGGAAGACAGAAGAGGAAAAAATGAATAGATCCTAAATTTGAGGGTGAGCCAGTGGTCCCCAACCCAAACCTGGTGACTCTGAATATAAGCTATAGTAATCCACATCTACATTTTAGCAGACTATTTAGATGATGTTGATGTACCAAAAAGTTTAGGATCCACTGGTATAAATATTTATGAAGAGAACAAATCAACTGGTAAACTTTTTTAGACTTAGTTGTGATTTGAGACACTCTTGTTATAGCAAGCACATTATTAAAAAAGTCAAGGATGAAATAATAATTAATTGTATTTTTACATGCTTTTAAAATGCTATGTACTACAGTAAATGCTTGCATGATACATTTTTGATCAATCCACGGAACCTGTAAGGGAGACAATGTTACATTCCTTACATTTTAGGGGATATTATTTTTACTATAAATAATAATTTGAAAATAAAGACATTGAGTCCCAGAAGATAAATTGGTCAAAATCACAGAGCTAGTGAAGGATCAGAAGACAATAGCAATACATTCCAGAACCTTGCTCAAAACCAAATGTCATAAGGTCGTACTGCCTCTTCTCCACCAGTACACACTTCCAGTTGGAATGCATAGCCTCAGGAGCACATGGTACACCATTATGTTAGCATTGTTACTCCTCATTCTGCATCTGTTAGCTTAAAGACCCTCCTGGTGCACAGGCGGATGTGCTGCTCAGGTCCCCTGCATGCAGAGACTTGCTGTCCTGGCTGTAGATTGCTGGCTGGCACAATAACAGCCTTCTGGAGCAGCACATAATCAATGAATCTTTACTACTAAGTCATAAAGGTTGAGCCTTTTTCTCTGAATGCAGACAATATTGAAGGGCAAGTTTAGTTCCCAAGCTTTCCCACAAGGTCAGTGTAGAAGCCGTAAAATTGCATGCCAGCTCACTTTCTCACTCTTCCCTACCTTTCTTCCTGCTCCTTCCTTTTACTGGTGTTCACAGATACTGATCCCAAGGGTACACTTTAGGAAATATCTTACCCTCTGTACTTCAGTTCAGAGTCACTTCCCAGAAAACACAGCCTGGGACTTAATTACTTTTTGATAAGAACTAAATGAATCATTAGATAATTATATTTAAGAATATTTTCTTTCATATTATTATTTTGAAAGTCAGAATATTATGACATATGGGTATGCTTATGATAGTCATAATAAAATATTCTACAGGCACATGTTTTTGATTGCATATTGTCAAACTAGTGCAATAGACACATAGTAGATTTTCCAAATATTAATGGAATGCAACAATAAAACACATCAATTATATATATTTTATATGTGTACACAATTTTACATGTGTGCCATGTACATATACATATATATGTGAGTGTGTGTTTATGTAGATCTTGTTATATTTGTTAAAGATTTGTTCTAGAGTGTAAGTGAATAATCTGATAAGGGCTTGAAAAACATTTTTGACCTGACAAAAGAGGAATAAAAATATATCAATTGCCTGTTCTGAAATAGGTTTCATAATAGAGAATGGAGAGCAGGATAAATTGCATCATATGCAATAATTTGTTATATAACAATATTGAGTCACAAGTTCTCTCTCCCTCCAGAAACCTGAACTTGGAGGAAATATGTCCATTAGTTTTAGGATGTTCTATCATGATTAATAAACAATTACTTATATGTACAATTCTTTAGTTGAAGGAAAAGCTATAAAGTGAGTATTACAGGCTCAAACATGGTTAAGAATCTCACTGCTGGTCCTTTGAAGAAGAGATGCAAGGCACTGCCCGTGGTTTAGGTAAACATGAAAAATAGCATGTGGAATGACGTGGTGACATGGAATGGGAGATGGAGACTTCCTTTAATGTCTCTGGTCTAGTGTTCTATTCCTAGTCTTAATTTGGAAGTATATTTTCTTTCAGAATACTTATTGGAAATGCAATCAGAAATGTAATCAGAAACAAGAAGAAAGTGAGAGTATGTTTATAATTCACTTTGTGTTCTTAAATAGAAACCTTTCAGACATGAAGGCATAAAAATATTCTTCATTTTTTTTTTTAGTAAAAGGTTTCACTTAAATTTTTTAAAAAAAGGATTTAGGAAGTGGAGAGCTGCCCACCTAGAAAGGCTTAGCACAACAGAATAATGAGATTTTGACAAGGGATATTGAATACCTCACCAGAAGTGGAAAAAAATGTACTTGGCAGAAGGTTTACTGAACTTTGAAAAGAAAACTTTTAACTAAAATGAAGGGAACCAGAAAACATATATGCACACATATAGATGTATACATACATATGCATATAATATACTCAGAGAATAAAATATGCTTAGCCGAAACTGCAAAATTAGAAAGGAATAACAACAATTTCTAAACTTTCTGTTTTCCAAAAGAAACCAAGTATAAATGAAATATTCTATGACTTCCAAATAGATAAAAAATTAATATGAGCTGAATAAAGCCAAACCATGGCAAGCTAGAACATCTGCAGATGAGAAGTGCTAATTATCAGTGTCAAATCAAAGACCATCTCTCATAATGTATACACAAGCTTGGTTCTTAATTCTAACTCTCACAAGTTTTTGATGAAGACAGAAGCTTACAGAACACTTGGCACCCAAGTTAATATAACTAATATATTGGGTTAGGATTTAGGGAGATTTTGAAAAACCAGAACAAAAGCTTAAATTAACAAGGACATATAAAATAAAGATGTGTATTAGATTATAAACTTTGAAAAGTATCATATATGGAAGATGGTCATAGGGAGGCCAAATAAAACGGTCTCAGAAACATTCAACGAATGTATGGAATTTCTATGCATCTCTTTACTGAGAAGATTGCTTTAGAATACTGTGCCCGCTCTTGGGTTTCCTACTTTAAAAGTGATGCTCTAACACAATGGAGTATGCATCATCTAGGAGAACATAACCAAGATGGGAAAAGAGGAGAATTTATCGTATGAAGAATGTGAAAATTCTACATGTCACTTATGGATTTAGGTGACCAAAACATCTCAGAAATTGTCCATAAAAATGTGGCAAAATTTCTTAATAATTACTCTCCTTATGAATGTAATCGATATAGTCCTGAACTTAATCGATATAGTCCTGAACTTAGTAGTTCAGGAGTCCTGAACTACTCAGATGTAGTCCTGAAGCAACTACATCTTCAGTGTAATGTAGAAATAGCTTTGAACATGTTTTAATCTTTCAAAATAGACATCAATGAATTCTTTATTTTGTTATATATCCCATTACTTGATTTGTTCAGAAAAAGATATGGGCGCATAGAGAAGAAACTAGGGAGACTAAGAGGTAGGTATTTGACTCACGTAGACACATTGTGATAATCGTAAAAAAATGAAATTTGAAGTCCTTTGAAAAGCAATAATACTACTGAAGTTAATTTTTATAGCTATAATAATTGCAGGAATTTTATCATTGATAATTTTGTGGGAACTTTCCAAAAGAATGTTCATAGCAAAATATATTGTTGGGCAGTTATACGGCCACTATCTTTAACTCTATAGGAACAGAAGGCTGAAGATAATACAAGTTGCCCATGGATTCTGGAATCCAGATATAATTTTCTGGAATTATCAGACTGTTTCCAATATTTTTTTTCCTTTTTTGGTATCTTGAATAATGAATGATTCTAATTTCTATTTCTACTTTTGCAAACACTAATACAGTTTAAGTTAAAATAAGGCATGTTTTAAAAACCAATTTCTGAAGCAAAAACAAATCCTATACTAAAGTATAATATTACCTTACATCTTGGAAATTGTTAAAACTATGTGTTCTTCAAAACTCTTAAATTATTAGACACTCATAGACCCCTGGCCTTTCAACAGAACTCTTGCTTGGTAATGCGAGTGTAAAGGTATACATTATCTCAAGCATAGCCAAGCAGACTATTAAAATAGTATTTACACCCCTGGCTGGTGTAGCTCAGTGGATTGAGTGCAGCCTGTGAGCCAAAGGGTCACCAGTTCAATTCCCAGTCAGGGCATATACCTGGGTTGCAGGCCAGGTCCTCAGTAGGGGCCACACAAGAAGCAACTATACATTGATGCATCTCTCCTTCTCTTTCTTTCTCCCTTCCCCTCTCTTTAAAAATAAATAAATACAAATTAAAAAAATAAAATAGTATTTACAAATATATCTGCATAGCAGAAACAATTGAGATTCTCAGATATGGATCTCTACTTGGACTTTTTTTAATGTTTCTGAAGAAAAAGTCAGAAATAGAATCATTAGCTTCTACCAGACAGATAAGCAGGCTTCAAATTGTTTTCATTTTTTTTCTAGTCTTGCAGCAGCAGTAAGATGCATTTATAATTTTACTATTATCAGATACCATACATGAAACAGTGCTCTTTTGCTTTGCTCCTTTGAAATAACAGGCACTTGATAAATAATGAATAGAACTATACTCAGCAAGAACTTGTCTTCCACTACAGTGTCCTTATTATGTTGGCATGTATTAAGAAATTAAAACCAAAATGAGCTAATATATCTTGCAATACTCAACAGCATGATATCCTCATGTTCCTCACTAAAGGTTTAATCCTCTCATGTTTACTGACTTTCCTTTCTTTTAAACTTAGACTTGACCAAATCTTGATTTTTAGACTCTTGGTTCTGCCTGTTCATTTAAGTTTATAAATATCCTCCTCGTCTGACTTTGTGTTTTTGCCAAACCACAGATTCATGATCCAATCTGTCATTAGGTTCTTATTTGCACCCTGGAATGTCATTCCTTCGACCA